TACCACTGAGCCACCTTCCCAGCCCAAAAACTCAGTTTCTTTTGATGGATAAAAATGCAAGTTATCTTCTATTTAAATACAGTATTTTACCAAATGACCAACTATAAATTAGCTAATCAAAATCACTTCTATTCATCTATAAATTTATTAAGTCAGTTGGAAAACATCTGTTGTGTATCGAATATATGTCTAGTAAAACAGTTTTATAATTATTTTATGTAATCTAACAGGAAAACATCCAAAGAATAACAAACACAAAGTCCTGTATGACTAATATTATGATAAGTCTAGGATGAAAAATTGTAACGTCAAGATCTGACTCACTGATAGTATGAGTTGACATATGCATGAATAAAAGCAGCTGCAGCTGGCATAGGGGTTATAAAAATAGAAGAACACATGTTTCAGAAACTGAAGAAAGCCAGTATGACCAGTATTGAGAGGAAAACGGAGAATGGCATGAGGTGAAGGGAGTAGCTAAATAGGAACTACTTCACTCAGACAAGGTGAAGATCTCATCCGCCCTAATAGCAATAGGAAGTCGCTGAAGGATTTTAAGCAACAGTATGAAACCATAATTGATCCTTTGGGATGGTCATTTCTGCTGCCAAGAATTGTATAGATTGGGGGAAGATAAAAAATAGTTTCAAGAGGTGAGTTTGGAGACAATTACAGTATTCTGTGTGAGAAACAAAGATAACTCAGAAAAGAGTTTGTGTGTTCTATTAACACCTCAAAAATGTTTTGCATTTTACAACTGACCTATTTTCTTAGAATTAGACATAGCAGAGCTAAAAAAAAAAAAAAAAAAAAAAAAAAAAAAGCAGTAATAAAAAAGGCGGCACATGTGCTTTGCAACAGGATATATCTGGTTTTCACCTTTGGTCTGGTTTGGGGGCTGCACAGCCTATTAATAGCTAAAGGACCATATGCAAGGCACATTAAGGTCTCTAAGCCTCAGCGTTTGTACCTTTGGAGTTCACATAATAACACTTCCCGCGGGTGAGAATATTAAGTGTGACAATGCATGCGATATTCTCAGCATGAACAGTTAATATTGAGAAGCCTCAGGACCAGTCATCTGATGGCATTCTCTCTGCTGGGAAATTCTCTCCTTTCTTTAGAAACCAGTTCTTTCTGAATTTTTTTTTCTTTTTGCTTATGTGGTGCTGAGGAATCGAACCCAGGGCCTCATGCATGCAAGGCAAGCGCTCTACCACTGAGCCACCTTCCCAGCCCCTTCTTTCTGAATTTTCTCTCAGCAAACAGCACAGACACAGAGTTGGGGGAAAGGCACTGCTCTGGCAAAGATAAAGACATAAGAAAAACAAGTAAAGATGGAGATGCTGCTGAACAGTCTGTCTCTTTGAGTGTGCATGGGAACTATCTCCACATCCTTCTTGCCAAACTCAGTTGGAAAGGAAGACCCTCTCACTTTCAGAAAGATAGCTGGACAGATTAGGGGAAAAGCTGTCTCATCGAGCACTTTCTTCTGCTCACCTACTGGCTGTTCAGAAGCCTAAATCATCATGAGGAAAACTGGTTTCACCGGTGTTACTGGCTCCAGAAATGGTAGCCAATCAGCCAGGTATGATGGGGATGGAGCTGAGTTTGGAGCAGAAATCCAATTGTTAATCATGGCCTTAGGCAATTCCTTTAGTTACTTTCCTTTTCTGTGAAATAAGATGTTGTTGGATGGTTTCAAACACTCTTTTCTGGCTGAGAAAGTGTGTGGTTTATGGACTTATCACCTCATTTACTTAAAGTAAGTAAACAACCAAGGATGAGGCCTAGAGTAAAGACATCTAAGCTCATCCTTTTCACTCCTGTAACTTAATTTGAACTAGCAGAAGCACATACAGTAAGCATAGCCAAAAGCTTCATCATTAAAAAATAATTACCAACAATGAGGCTATAAATTAGTGCCTTGCAAATATCTAAAGCTGCAAGGCAATTGCTTGAAACTATGTTTCAAAGCTTTGCAGAAATTACTGAATCAGAATCTCTTAAGGCAAATCTCCAGGAATACCTACTTTTAAAAATTTTTCCTTTTTTTTTTTTGTAATCAACTACTTCAAAGAGGATCACCTTTAAAGAAAGATTTGCTTTTTCTCAGGGTTGTCTACAAATTACTTTTATGTGAATTACCAAAAATACTTGCTGACAATAGCAGGGAGTATGCCCAGGAATATGCATTTAATAATTCTATTATTATACATAGCAACTTCATCTCCCCCCCAAAATAGTTTGTATGTGCTTATGAATAATATCATGTGGGTAAAACCTTCAGGTCTACGAAAATTATAGAAAAGATAATATTGAAGATACAGACAATATAAAGAAATCATAATTGCAGTATAGATATCACTATTATTTCTTTTTTTTTTTTTACAGTTTCTTTTAAATTGTGAAAATACTGTACAGAGGAGTTACAATTACATGTGCAAGGTAATGAGCACATTTCTTATCAAGCATTGTTGTCTCCTCCTTTGTTTCCCCTTCCCATCCCTTCCCATCTTCCCCGTCCCCTCCATCCCCCCTCCCACATCCCTTCCTCCTCGCACCCTGCCAAAGTTGTAAAGTTCGTTTTTCGACATAACGTCTTGTACATTTCATTGTTGCAATGGGTCCACCTGTATCCCTATTTAAACAATTTGTTTTTTCCCTTCCCCTCCACAAATTATACCAACATCAAATACAGTGAAAACAGGGGTTTCTTGCTATTTTTTCTAACATATTTATAAGATATTTCTTTGTTGCTTTCTATATCACTATTATTTCTATCATATTTCATTCAGTTTCTATAAGAAGGTTGTGGTTTGAGCAATGTTATTCTCATTTAACTGACAAAGTCAAGCTCTGAGGTAAGCTGAGATCATTTGTGCAGAATTTCATGGTTAGTATCATGTGGTTAAAATAACATGGATTGTGGAGACTGCCAAGCTAACATAACTTGGAGATACTAAAGTACAGAGATAGCCTGTATTACCACAGAATGTGTAATTAAGAATTGAACACACCTTTTAATTAAACAATATGCTGATCTCTTAACTGACAAGTTAGAAGTTTGTCTCAATCTTTATTTCATTTCCACATGAATTTTTTTTATTATTGTGAAAATACCATACAGAGGGATTACAATTACATGGGCAAGATAGTGAGTATATTTCTTATCAAGCATTGTTGCCTCTGCCTTTGTTTCCCCATACCACCCCTTCCCCTCTCCACCTACCCCACCCCCACCCCACCAAAGTTGTAAAGTTCGTTTTTCGACATAACGTCTTGTACTTATCATTGTTGTAATGGGTCCACCTGTATCCCTATTTAAACAGTTTGTTTTTTTCCCTTCCCCTCCACAAATTATATCAACATCAAATACAGTGAAGGCAGGGCTTATACCCTGGGGGAGGTACATACAAAGCAATAAAGAAATCATCTTATAAATATGTTGGAAACAATCTCAAGAAAGAAAAAAACATTTATGTTAATGTTATTACAACAATCATAGATTGACCAAAATAAAATAATATCATTCCTAATAACAGTAATTCCAGGGGCCTCCCCAAATCATAAAATCATTTAAAGTAGTCATCATTTCACATCAACTACCGTCAAATACAAATATTTACAGGTGAAAAGTCTACAAGTGTGCTTTGTAGAGACTTCTAGCTGCATGGCCTTATTATATGACCTTATTTCCCTGATCCATTTTCATACCACAGGCCCTTGACTCATGTTTATAAAACTCAGTATGCTGGTCATTTGCTATAACAGATCTTCATTAGACTTAAAGATTCTGCAAATAAGGAAAAAATCTTTACACTATAAATATATTTTTTTTTGGGGGGGGGGGGGGTCCGGTTGTGGGCCTGAACTCTGAGCCTGGGTGCTGTCCCTCAGCTCTTCAGCTCAAGGCTAGCACTCTACCACTTGAGCCACAGCACCACTTCCAGCTTTTTTTTCTGCTTATGTGGTGTTGAGGAATCGAACCCAGGGCCTCATGCATGCAAGGCAAGCGCTCTACCACTGAGCCACCTTCCCAGCCCCTAAATATATTTTTTAGAACAAGGATTTTGTTTCTTTTTCTCTTACTGATTCTTCTACATTCATCTAATAAGGTATTAGTGTAAAAATGTGTGTGTGTGTGTGTGTGTGTGTGTGTGTCTTGAACTCTTGGTTAAGTGAAATGGGAAAGGTCTCCTCTCCCATATTCCCAATTCCTAAGCTGACCAGTTTGAGCAAAAATATGATATAACAACATGCATTTCACAAATTTGTTCAAACAAGATGAACCTTAGTTATGCAAACCCTGTGCTTGATTGACTGATTGATTGATTGCCAGTCCTGGCACTGTCCCTGAGTCTCCGTGCCCAGGGCTAACACTCTACCATTGGAGCCACGGTGCCATGTCCAGCTTCTTTTGAGTACTTTATTGGAGATAAGAGTCTCACGGGGTCTTTCCTGCCCAGGCTGGCTTCAAAATGCGAACCTCAGATCTCAGCCTCCTGAGTAGCAAGGATTATAGACATGAACCATCAGCACCCCACTCCCCACAACTGCAATATTTTTAAGTCATTAAAAATGTTAATAATAGAAAATAGGAAGATCTCCGAAGTCATATACATTTTAAACAAATACAATTGCCACCTTCTGCTATGGCCAGATGTTACCTACCTTTTTAATCTTCTTTCACCTTGAATGTTACAAACTTTCTAAAATGTAAATACAGATATTTTCACATAGAGCAAAAAGAATGAATATGACATGAACAAAGAGAAATTTCCAAAGAGTAAGTGACATATTAGCTATAAAAACTACCTATAAAAAGATATGGCAAAGGTTTTTTGATTGTGATTTGTTTTCTTTCAATATTTGGTGGAGTGGTATCTTTTTTCATGCCAGTTTATGTTTTATAGCTATATTTGGTCAACTTAGGAGCCATTTTTTTTCACAAAATCAACATTTTTTTTTAAATAAAAAAGAAAAAGAAGGACACTTACAAATAACTGTAAAATATGCTGTACTTCTGAAACAGGTTTAGGACTCAGATAAACCTTCTTTCCTGCAAATTAAAAAAAAATACAAGAGAGAAATGAAAAGAAAAACCATGAAGAGACAGAAAAATTCCAACTAAATAATCTAATATTATCTAATACTAGCTAAAATATTTTGACTAATTTTTAATTCACTTTAAACTGGTAAACACCAAACATTTTGGGGAAAAGGACAGCTTCTAATTTGATAATAAAAATTTCACACTGAACTCTTATATCCTACTTTATCATCCCCAACATCAAATGTTAGTCTTGAGGATTGCAAGCTACAAAATCTGTCATAGTACTGGTCAATGACAACTTGAGAAAATCATCATATAAAAACAACTGATTATTATAGTAAATACTTGTACATATGTGCACAGAGTGCCCACTGTAAATATATCCTTGGCATTACTATACCTTTCAGTGGGCATAGAAACACTTCACATGTTTACACCTTAGAAAATCTTTTCACTTTCACCTTTCTTGAGTTTCCCAAGATAGTGTAGCAACATTCCTAGCAACTACTTGGGAACCATGCTGAAGGAATGTACGCTATCTTGTTCCTAGAGATAAAATAAACTATGGAGATACAATCCCTATTTGTAGAATAGGGAAAATAATAGGAATATGGCAAATCAGTATCCACATCTGCCACTCAGCATCAGGGTGCTTTACAAATTTCTTCCCTCCATACTTCCACTGCCCTCATTCATTCAGCCACTTTCTTCAAACATTTACAACATCCTAAATGATTTCCATGTACGCATGCTTTCCTCACTGAAAAGCCATTCTTACAGAGATAGGAGGCAGAATTATTTCAAAGTAAATCTGCTCATGATCACTCTATAATGAATTCTTCTCTAGTTTCCTATCACCTAGAATCAAGTCCAAGTCTTTTTCTATTGCATGAGTTGCCCTCCAGGAACTTGCCCATCTGCCTCTCCCCTTACTTTTCACCCATGCCGAACTTATACCAATGCTAAAGACAAAAGCTCTGAAGTGGTACTCCATCAATGGAACTCCTGTGCTTTATTTGCATTACCTCTGTGGCAATTGATTTATTTATTTATCCATTCTTGAATGGATAAATATGGATCTATTTATCCATTCTTAATCAACTTGGGCACTTCTTTCTCAGAACCTTCTGTTTTCTCCTCAGGCCAAATAGAAAGACTCTGGAATATCTCTCTGGTTACACTTTTCACACATATTATAAATGTCTGATTAGCTCTACTTTCCTGCATCAATCTTTTGAAGCCTTTTGATGGCATGGATTATGACTCATTTGGGTCAGCCCTAGCACAATCTTTTCTAGATGGTGGGACAAATGCAAGAAATCATTTGCTGAATGGCAAGGTGCATGTAGACTTTTCATTCTTCCAGCTGACTAATTTCATACTTGATCACCTTGAAGGACTTTTACAATCAAAAGAGGACACCTTTTCACCTTATTCTATAACCAAGCTTCTCATACACTTTTTGGCCACCCCATAACTCTCTGCCCTGCAGTTAAGTCTTATATCTGCAGACAAAATGTAAGAAACTAGGAAGAGGAAGCAAAAAATCCAATCATGTGAGAAGCAGTAATACAATAAAAATTGCAAGCCTCAAACTTTACATAATATAATGAACATACACACTCCTATAAAGCCAAATTGAAAAATAATGGCCAGTTACTTATCATACTCCTAATCCTAGCTATCTGAAAAAGTGATATTGAGAGAACCATGGTTTGAGGCCAGGCTGGGCATGTGAGATCTTTTCTCAACCAATAGTTGATCGCTATTGGGCTATGTGGGAGGTTGAGGTCTGGTGGACTATCAACACCAGGCCAGCCAGGACAGCTGCAGCCAAAGACTCTATTTCAGTGGAACAAACTGGATATGGTAGCCTATACCTGTCATTCTAACTCCCACATGAATCCTAAAATAGGAGGATCATGGCCCAGGCATGAGCCTGGGGAGGAAGTGCCTATCTCAAAATAACCACTGTAAAATGGGATGAAAGTGTGGCTCATCTGAGATAACCTGCACATTAAATGTGAGACCCCAAGTTTAAACCTCAGTACAGCTGGAGAATAAAAGAAAAATTCTATATGCTACTCTTTCCCCAATTAAACTTTTGTTTCATTTTATGAATTTCCAACTAGTTCTGCCCATTGCAACAAAATCAGAGAAACAGAGAGAGACAGAGAGAGAGCAGTAGCAATGAAGTGGTCTTTTCAAAGATATCCTAAACATAAACACACTAAAAGAGACTGAATCTCTCTTCATCCTTTGTAATTATCAAATATTTTATGAATGAAGGTATTCATGAACCCATTTCAAGAATAATGGCATAGTAGCCCTAATAACAAGAATTTTTTTAATGTGTGTGTGTACATTATCTCCTATATATATATCCTTATACATTATAAGAATTATTATGCTATTAGGCTAATCTCTTTGTTAAACTATTGTTGTTGTATATGTCAATCACTTTAACACAAGCAAAATAAACAGAACAAGGTGTTCTAGCATTCTCTCCCTGAATAATATAGGACACAGAACTTGAAAGACATAACTACCTCACAAGGTCTAATTCTTTCTGCATATATCACTTAGGACTGTATTTACATATTAATCCCAGGACATTTGTGGAGCAAAGGCAAAAAAAACCCCAAAACTAATGATCTCCTATCTACAGTTTGCACCTCTTGCAAGAGAAACATGAGCGTGTGAGTAAATTAGTAAACTCCATTACAGCCACTATAAGTTAGCTGAGATTGGATATCATCTCGTCCAGTGAATTTCAAACTACGTTTGCTGATGAGGAATATTTTCTTTTCAAATGAACTGTTTGGAAGAAAGACAATATCCAAGACAGTGAAAAGCAGAACTTCTCTGAGACCACAGTCTTCAAAGGCCCAAACAAAGTTTTGCCCACATCCCATCTTTTCACTTCTCATTCCCTAACTAGGATTTCAAGTTTGAAAACTACATGACCATAGCTTCATTTTAGAGATGTCGCCACCAGGCTAAATCTGAAGCAGCTACTTCAAGACAATGCAACAAAGTAATTGAAAGCATTCATCCCATGTGTTTTCATCCTCCCTTCTCCTGTCCTTAATTTGTGGTCAAGGACCTGCTTTCCTGCATATCCTGATGTGATCTCAATTGAAAACATATAAATTGTGATCAGACAGGATTTACAGTGATGTTTTATTCCAGTGTTTGGTAAAATACTATTTATTTTCTCTGTGTTATGACTCAGGTAAGTATCTTCTACTTGACTTATCTTCAGCCAATGGAAATATTGATAGGCAGTAAAACCTTTGAGGCCCAGTGGGAAGAAGTCATGAAGTCAAGTGCATGTCCTTGAAAAAGATAGTGGGGGTCTAGCACTTTCCCTCCCCCGCTCTCCCTCCCTCCCAATCGCCCTCTCCTCTCTCCTTTCTCTCTCCTTTCTCCTTTCTCTCTCCTCTCTTCTCTCTCTCTTCTGTGCTTCTCCCTTTCTCCCCTCTCCCTTCCTTTCTCCCTTCAATTTTCTCCCCGCTCTCATCCCCCTTTTCTCTCTTTCCCCTTATACACCATGAGGTATATCGCTTCTTCTACCAAGTTCTCCCACCAGGATAAACAATTACAATTTTTGCCACTGACCAAAAGGAGTTATCTAACCAACTATGGAAGAAAATCTCCAAAATTATGAGCCAAAATAAAATCCTTCCCCCACTGATTATCTCAGAGATTTTTGTCATAATAATGGATTTCTAGCTACATAGTGTTTATGTTTTCTAACATTTAAGTTGTAATTACTCAAGCAGTCACCCATGAGAATATGCAAATAACATGCACAAGGAATAATCCATCAAGTTCCCACCACAAAATTTCAGGGAGCATTCAAAACTCTAGACATCAAGATTAATAATATTTTCATGTAACATGTTTCAAAATTCAAAGTTCATGCAAAATTTCCATGGTGATGCTCCTGGATTGGAAGGATCAATATCGTGAAAATGGAAATACTTCCCAAGGCTATCTACAAATTCAATGCAATACCTATCAGTAGTCCAACCTCATTCTTCAAGGAAATAGAAGAGGCAATCCAAAAATTCATATGGAACAATAAAAGACCCCAAATAGCAAAAATGATCCTTAACAGAAAGAACAGTGCTGGAGGAATATCAATACTAAATTTCAAACTCTACTACACAGCTATAGTAATCAAAACAGCTTGGTACTGGCACAAGAACAGACCTCAGGACCAATAGAATAGAATTGAAAACCTAGACATGAACCCACAGACCTATAGCCGTCTAATCTTCAATAAGGGAGCTAAAACAACAGAATGGAAGAAAGACAGCCTCTTCAGTAAATGGTGCTGGCAAAATTGGTTAACTACTTGTAGAAAACTAAAGCTAGATCCTTATATATTACCCTGCACTAGAATCAACTCCAAATGGATCAAAGACCTTGGAGTCAAAGCAGACAATCTGAAAACATTACAGGATGGAATAGGGGAAACCTTAGGTCTCCTTGGCCTAGGTGGAAATTTTCTTAATAGAGACCCAGAAACACAACAAATCAAAGAAAGGCTGGACAAATGGGATTGCATGAAATTGCAGAGCTTCTGCATGGCAAAGAACATAGCTAGCAAGATCAATAGAAAGCCTACGGATTGGGAGAAGATCTTCACTAGCCATACAACAGACAAGGGTCTCATATCTAAAATATACTTGGAACTCAAAACATTAAATCCCCCAACAACAAATCCTCAAAAAACAACAGCCCAATAAATAAGTGGGCTAAAGACTTAAAGAGAAACTTCTCTGAAGAGGAAAGAAGGATGGCCAATAGACACATGAAGAAATGCTCAACCTCCCTAGCCATAAAAGAAATGCAAATTAAAACAACATTGAGATACCACCTCACCCCAGTTAGAATGACTAAAATCAAGAACTCTACTAACAACAGATGCTGGAGGGGATGTGGCCAGAAGGGAACCTTACTGCACTGTTGGTGGGAGTGTAAACTTGTTCAACCAC